CCTACAAATTGTTAATTAATTCCTACGACTTATTTATTTGTGGCCACTGTCCATGTTTCATTAATTTTGTTCCTTAAATAATCCATGATTTAACTAAAATGAGGGAACAAATTAATACATTGAACGAATTCTTAATTCATGGCCATGAAATCTTTTATTTCCCTTCCGCATGTTTACCACAGTAAGAGATGCGAAAACAGTGATAAAAAGTGAATGACAATAAAATAAACCTGCGAAATTAGAGGGTTAGACGGTGAGGATTTAGGAAAAGAAACAATGCCTAAATATTATTGAATTTGTGGAAATTCGTGACCAAGAACAAAGCCGCGTGAATGTAGGCTATATGGGTTCGAACGGCATCCACAAGCATGGTCGCGATGTAAGATTTTCCAGCTAACCAAATATTCCTCTAATAAACAAAGCTTTTATACCACACTTGTCATAATCAGAGCTTATAATTTGTAAATAAATAATTGCTGGATTCAAAACAGCAATTAAAAGGCGCTGTGACCGACACTTGACAATACGTTTTCCCGGAGCATTCAATGATGTCACTAAACGGTGATGCCACAACTAAGAGCATCGTTCACAAGTTTCTGCACTAGCTTAGGGCACAGGTTTTCAAGCCCTGGGACAAAATGGGATGCTTTAAGGAAAATGTATAGCCTATGTAAGTAATAGGCCTAAAATAAAAATAACTTTGTTTTCATTAAAAAATAAAAAAATATGCAAAATATATCTGACTTAAATAATTAAGCTAACAGATTTAAAACAGAAGTGTGGCGCGGCGCTCCATAAACAAGTTCACGGAAAGGAAAGGATGACAACGCGCATTCTGTTTGTTTGCTCTATTTTGCAAAAGCACAAATCTTGTTTTTATTGTGAGCGTGCAAAAATAAAAGTAAACACTTTTACGGGTTATATCTTACTCCAAAAATTGAGTTTTTTATGTTTCAGCTGTTCAATCGCACCAGCGCCTCGCGCGCACATACCCCACATATTCTAGCAATTCAAATTTACATCGTAGTCTGTTCATTATCAAAATAAAATACAGTCAACCAAACATATAAAAGGTTACACTGGTCAGTTTAAATAGACCGTAGTATACCGGTCCACTCTGCTGTTATGCCAAGGACTTTTTTGCTCATGTGAAGAGGATGATCTTTTCCGTCTATATGCGAATGCATGTAAAGTACAAGCCTAGTTTACATTATAAATAATAGTTTAACATTCAAATACATTGCGAATATGGAAACATTTGGATTTCAGGTCAGTTTCATCTGTAAATATGCTATTGTAGTTTTGTCTTTGTTTACTTGTTAAGCTTGTTGTTAAGCAGCAGCAGCCCATTGCTCATCAGTCATCACTCAAAATACTGTATAAAGGACATCATTATTATCTATTGTAATGTTACAGTAGTAATTTAGCAGACAAATAATCATATGTTATAATAGGTTTAGGGTCGCTAGGGCAGACAACAACACAACCCTTACGAAAATTAACGATGATTTTACTATAAATCCAAAGACAATGGTTACTATTGTCAAACCATGGTAACCACAAATTAACCATGGTTTTTGCTACACTAACCATAGTTTAACCATGGAAATTATAGTAAAAATAAATACAAATGGTAGTAATCCATGTAAAAAAAACAACAACAAAAAAACATGGTTACTGTACTTTTACTATAATAAAAGCATGGTTAATTTCTGTAAGGGAAAAACATGACTCATGTTCAGTATTAGGATTTTTCTATAAAGATATTGTAGTGATGTACTAATTCTGACATGTAGGCAATTTAGAAAGTGTAGTTTTGTTCAATCTTGAGTATTAAAGTCATGTGAGAGATAGATATCAGGGCAAAATAAAGAGACTGAAAAGAAAAATGGAAGTGAAGGTGCAGTTCAGGAGAGAACTTTAAATTATTTTGCATGTCCCCAACCTAAGGATTTAAACCCTTTTTATGTGAGGTCCATACAAAAAATAGGGTTGTCCATGTTTCAGAAATTGTTGTGGGTGTATGAGTGTGAGATTTCCCGGCCTGAATTATTTTTCCAGTCCGCCCCTCGCGGAAATTAATGGCACAGACATTCGGTTTCATTTACTACACATAGGCCTACTGAAGCTCGCGGTGTTTTCAGCCTCTGCCGCCTCAATATATGAGAACATGAACACATAAACATAATCTCTAGAACTGCACTGAGTCATTTCATGAGCATTTTACTTATTTTGAGAAAACTATCATCATATCATATACAAAAAGACACCAATGTTTCAGGAGTTTAGTACACAGAAGAGGACACATGCGTATTAGATAACCGTATTTGAGTTGATGTATATGCTTTTATTTATTATTATTTTTTAATTAACAATTTTTTTCCAAACCATTGTTAGATGCAGTGTTTCCTGTAGGTATGCAAAGATTTCTTATCTATTAACTGTTTCTTATCTGAACTGTTTCTTATGATTTTAAATCTGCATTGAACATCAGATTAATCTCAAAGTAAAAGGCGGTACTAAAGTCTGATTTCGTGGT